TCTTGCCTGCGGCAGGGGCTCAGGCTAGATGATCTGATCAAGTCCCTCCTGACCCTAGCTGCTATGAAACTATGAAACTAGACTGCAACAAGCATTGCCAAGGTGGGCAAGGGTTATTCTGCCTCTTTAACAGATGGGGAAATGTAGCAGGGGCTCAACTTCTGTTCCCAGATCCCAACCGTTGTACATTTGGAACTGCTGTCCCTATAGCAGCATCAGCATAACTGGCCCAGCCACACCGCAGTGCAGACGTAGCATATACCGACAAAAGGGGGGTTTCTGCTGGATTACCTGTACCACCTCCATGAATGACACGGACTAAGCTGAGATGAGCCCTCTCCTATCAGCACAGCTAAGTCCACACTGGATCTTTACATCTTTGTAACCCCACTTCCAGGAAGTGCTGACCGCAGCTGGAGTCCTGTGTCCAGTCCTGGGCGCTGCACTTCAAGAGGGATGTGGGGAACCTAGAGCGGGTCCAGAGGAGGCCACTCGCATGGTTGGGGCCTCCGTGACCAGCCCTATGAGGAGAGGCTGAGGGATTTGAACCTCTTCAGTCTCTGCAAGAGGAGACTGAGGGGCGATCTTGTGGCTGCCTACAACCTTATCAGGGGCCAGCAGCAGGGACTTGGGGAAGTCTGTTCCCCAGGGCCCCCCTTGGAGTCACCAGGAGCAATGGCCACAAGCTGCGGGAGGACAGGTTTAGGTTAGATAATCCTAATGAAAAAAGGAGGAGAGCAACAGAATAAAGACACTGGACTTCGGAAGAGCTGACTTGAAGAAACTCAGGGAAGTGCTGGGCAGGATTACTTGGGAGGCAATGGTGGGCAAAGGAGTCCAGGAGAGCTGTACTTTGAGACCCGATTAAGGGAACAGGAGTAAGCTATCCCAATGTGATTGAAAGAATAGGAAGTGTAGTAGGAGACCAGCCTGGTTAAACAGCGATCCCTTCAATGAGTGAAAACTAAAAAAACGAATCCTACAAAATGTGGAAAAACGTTGCCATACTACCATGGACAAGTATGAGAGCACCATGCAGGCATGCTGGGAGAATATCAGGAAGGCCAAGGCACAATTAAAGTTGCAACTAGGAAGGGATGTAACAGGCAATTGAAAAAAAAGAATTTCACAAGTATGTCAGGAGTAAGAGGAAGGCAAAACAAAGTATAGTTCCCTGCCTGACTGCAGAAGGTGACCAAGTAATGGAGGATGTAGAGAAGATGGGTTGTATTTTAAAGAGACCTTACTGAAGGCATAGAAACAAACCAACCTAATGCCCAGGAAGACTAGCCAGCTTGGCTTACCTAGGAACTCTTCAGGAAACTAAAACACAAAAGGGAGCTTGTAAGAAGTGGAAACTTGGAGAGATGACAAGGGAGGAGTATAAGAGCATTGCTCAGGTATACAGAGATGAAATGAGGAAAGCCAAAGTAAAATTGGAGAGGCAGCTAGCAAGGGGTGTGAAGGGTAACAGAAGGGTTTCTACAAGTATGTTGTTAACAAGAGGAGGATCAGGGAAAGTGTGCATCCCTTCCTGAACGGGGCGGGGGGGGGCACAACAACCTTGAGACAGAGGAGGCAGAAAAGACTGAAGAGCTCAGTGCCTTTAGCTCGGTCTTCACAGACAAGGTCAGCTCCCAGACTACTGCGCCGGGCAGCACAGTTTGGGGAGGACGCGAACAGCCCTCAGTGGTGAAAGAACAGGGCAGGGTCTATTTAGAAAAGCTGGACGTGTACAAGTCCATGGGGCCAGATGGGATGCACCCGAGGGGGCTGAGGGAGTTGGCTGATGAGATTGCAGAGCCGTTGGCCATCATCTATGGAAACTCATGGTGATCAAGAGAGGTCTCAGATGACTGGAAAAGGGCAAACATCATGCCCATCTGCAAGAAAGGGAAGGAGGAGGATCCAGGGAACTACAGACCAGTCAGACAAACCTCAGTCCCTGGAAAAATCATGGAGCAGATCCTCAAGGAATCCATTTCTAAACACCTGGAGGAGGAGAAGCGATCAGGAGCAGTCAGCATGGATGCACCAGGGGAAGTCATGCCTGACCAACCTGACTGCCTTCATGATGAGGCAACTGGCTCTGTGGATGAGGGGAGACCGGGGGATGTGATGGACTTTGACTTTAGCAAGGCTTTTGATACGGTCTCCCACAATGCTCTTCCAGGTGAGCTAAGGAAGTACAGGCGGCATGAATGGACTGTAAGGTGGACAGAAGACTGGCTGGAGCATCGGCCTCAGGAAGTAGTAGTCAATGGCTCGATGTCTAGTAGGCAGCCGGTATCAAGTGGAGTGCTCCAGCGATCGGTCCTGGGGCCGGTTTTATTCAGTGTTTTCATCAATCACCTGGAAGACGGGATGGATGCACCCTCACAGCAAGTCTGCAAATGACAGCAAGCTGGGGGGAGTAGTAGATACGCTGGAGGGCAGGGCTACGATTCAGAGTGACCTGGACAAATGGGAGGATTGGGCCACAAGGAATCTCAGGAGGTTCAACAAGGACAAGTGCAAAGTCCTGCACTTAGGACGGAGCAATCCCCTGCACCGGTGCAGACTGGGGCTGACGGGCTGGGCAGCAGCTCTGCAGAAAAGGACCTGGGGGGACAGGGGGCAAGAAGCTGAATAGGAGCCAGCAGTGTGCCCGTGAAGCCATGAAGGCTACCGGCATCCTGGGTTGCATTGGGAGAAGCAAGAGTGTTGCCAGCAGATTATGGGCAGTGATTCTTCCCCTCTATTCAGCACTGGGGAGGCCACATCTGGAGTCCTGTGTCCAGCTGTGGACAGAAAGGATGTGGACAAGTTACAGAGAGTCCAGGGGAGGGCAATGAAAATAATTTGTGGGCTGGGGACAGGACTGGTGAGGAGAGGCTGAGGGAACTGGGCTTATTCAGTCTGGAGAAGAGAGGACCAAGGTGGGATTTGATAGTAGGGCTGTGCAAAATGGGCCAGTGATTTGATCCGTTGATTTGGATCACTTTCTCCAATTCAATTCAGCCAAATCTGAATCTGAAGATTTGATGGTGATTCGGCAAATCAGCTATTTGGACACAGGCACATCTTTAAAAGTTTTTTCTACATACTCCAGGTGGCAGGCACGGCTTGTGATCGCTGCGGTGCTGGGGCGCATGGAGCGTCCCACAGCAGCATGGGGGGCTCTTCAGCATGCTCGGCGGCAAACCCAGAAGTGAACCGGAAGTACTTGTGGGTCTGCCAGGGAGCATGCAGGTGGGACCCCCGGTGCCCCCTCCAGGTCGGCGATCAGCCGCAAGGGGACCCTGGGTGCTCCCCCAGACCCAGGAGGCACCAGTTACCGAGCCAGGGGGGAGGGGGGGTCCTGCACACTCCCAGTGGACCCAGAAGTGCTTCTGGTCTACTTCTGCATCTGCTGCGGAGCGCGCTGGGGACCCCCCCCCCGTGCTCCTGTGGGATGCTTCATCTGCCCCAGCATCGCAGCATTCACGAGCCGCCTGCTACCTAGAGCTATGGAGAAAAAACATTTAAAGCTGCGTCTATGTCTGAATCACCAAATCTGCCCGAATCTCTCCGATTCGACTTCAGGGGTTCTGATTTGATTCGGAGAGATTAAAGAGTCCTTTGATTCGATTCGGATTCAGAGATTCAGCCACTGAATTGGGCCAAATCAAATCAGGGACCGAAGCTTCACACAACTCTATTTGATAGCAGCCTCCAACTCCCTGCCGGGGGGCTGCAAAGAGGCTGGAGCTGGACTGGTCTCGGTGGGGGCAGATGACAGGACAAGGAGCAATGGGCTCAAGCTGCAGCAAGGGAAGTTGAGGTTGGATATTAGGAAAAACTTTCTCCCGAGGAAGGTAGTGAAGCACTGGAACAGGTCACCCAGAGAGGTGGTGCAGTCTCCCTCCTTGGAGGTTTTGAAGACCCAGGTACACCAAGCCTTGTCTGCGATGATGTATTTGGGGCTGGTCCTGCTTGGAGCAGGGGGTTGGACTAGATGTGACCCCCTGAGGTCCCTTCCACCCTCATTTTCTGTGATTCTATGAGTCTAATTAGCTGCTCATTCACAGGAGCTGGAGGGAGATAACAGGCTATTTAAACAACCCCTACTGGAAGCCCAAAGGGAAGGTGGGAGGGAGGAGGGTATTCAAGGGTCCTGCCCAGGCCAGCTGCCACCTCTCCCTGTGATCCCAGAGCTGTGGGAGTGCCACTGCCCTCCTCTTCTGGTCCCTGCCAACCTTGCTCTTTCCTGATGAATAACCAGAATGATTTAAAGCAGGGATGATTTATTGATTCACAGATATTTACTTTTAATATTTTAATATGTGATTTTATAAAGCTTTTAACAGTATGCTGTCATTACTAAATTGTCTGCTCCCCACACCACTTACTTTGTGCAATCCCGAAAGTTTAAAATGATAAAAACTGAAACAAATGCTTAAAGCTAAACATTCATATTTACCGTCAAAATTATTTAATAAAATAAAATTTGAATTCTGCCAAATCTACTTATGAGGAAAGGTTGAAACAACAGTTATTTAGTCTGGATGAGACTGAGATAGGGATTTGATGGCAGTCTTCAAATACTTGAAGGTTGGTTAATAAAGATAGTGGGATAAGCTATTCTCGGGGGTGGCAGGAGACAGGATATGCAGCAATGGCCGAAAATTGCTGCAAGGAAAAATTAAGCTGGCTTTTAGGAAGAACTTCCTCATTATGATTGAGCATTGGAACAGGCTGCCCAGAAGAGATGTGAAATGTCCATCCTCAGACATTTTTAAGACAAGTTTAGACCAGTAGTTCTCAAGCCAGGTACTATAGCACCCCAGGGTCCCCTGATGTCCTTTTTAACAGTGCTAAGAGGTGCTGCACAATATTAACCCTGCTGGGTGTGCAAACCCAGAGGCTTCAAATAGGAATATTGAAATATTTTGACCTGCTTTGGTCTTTCTGGGTTCTTTGCAACAGAAGAATTGCTGTAGTATGTTTATGTAATGAAACACCTGAGTGAAAGCCAAGGGCTTGGCATTTTCTGAGCAATACCTCAAGTTTAGACACTTGGCTGGATGGCCGAGTCAGGGATGCTGCTGCCTTGGGCAGGCTGTTGGGCAGACGTCTAGATGCCCGGCTGAGGTCACTTCCAGCCTACGATTCTATGGTTTTGGAGACAAGAGTCACTTGCATACAGACCAATGGACAAAAGCCCTGTACTTATACAGCTCTTTTTCATTTAAAAGACTGGGACAGAGCCTAGGGTCCGCACACGTGTCTAGGTTCCCATAACAGCCCCCTTGCCTCCCCATTTAGGGACAGCCTTGTGCTCAGACATCTGCATCCAGGTCATACTCACCCTGTATGATTATGGAGCATATTTCATGCTATTTTTTCTTTCTTTTTTTTAAGGAAGAACAGACAGCAGATTTCAGACCATCAGTTGCTGTCATCACATGCCCATCTTGCCTCCCGAAAGCAGATCGGGTGCATGCCCCTTAGGACAGGAAGCTTTGCTGGACCAGTCTATTCTAACGGGCACCCTCCCATCTCCCACCATGAATGTGCTGAGGAAGACGTGTGTCTCTGATTGCAGCAGGTGCTGTACCAATATTTTACTCAGTATCTGATCTATCTCAATATTACTCTTCAAGCCCTTTTGAGAAGGAAGGCATCTCAAAGGAACAAAAGGATATTGGGCACAAATTTCACTTGTGGTCAACAAAGTCACTCAATAATAATGGTAGTTTTAAAGCTTCCCCTTTTTGGGGGCGAGGTTAGTGGGGGCAGGGTGAGACCTAGGTAGAACTCACTTCACACTTCAGCTCATTTTATTTCATTTAGGATTTTTAATGGAAAATATTTAGCATTTTTGACCAGTGTTAATGGCTGCACGTTTCTAGCCTACCAAGGACACCAATGGCATCTGGAGAGTTGTGTCTAAAATACCTGCAGATCCCCATCTCCCCATATTAGGATTTTGTCACTCTGTTCCTGCTTTAGGTTGTCATAACAGATAGGCTGAGACGTTGTTATGTGTACAGCTGGCTCTCAAATGCATTTGCTGACTCACAGGACACAGACTTTGTTCTGTAACTTTAAAAAATCGCGATAAAAGATTCCATCACCTACCCCAATATTGCTCTATGAAGAAATACAGCAATAAAAAACCCCAGTGGAAACCACCTGCCCTTAACAAAAATAAATCAAATATGGTCTCAAACACAACCTCTGCAGTCCGTCATCTCTGGTGAGTGCTTTATAATGCAGTTTAAACCACATTTTAAATGGTTGTTAAAATAGAAAATTGCATCCAGATACCTAAATCTCTTCAATCTTCTTTAGTGCAAGTTCACCGATAAATAGTAATTGCATTTTGCTGCATTGGCTACATTCAGATCTGTGATACCGGATTCACTAGTGCAGTAGAGAGTTGAGATGGCTCAGGGGATTAGCAAAGATGTATGAACCTCCCCCCGCACCTGTCCAGTGTCGCTGTTTCAAATCCAGCTTAGCCTGGCTGTGACACTGGGGAGCCCTCACTGTGAAAGGAGAGGGTCTAAAACTGAAGTGAAACAGGACCATTTGGACAGGGCGTTGAGTGTGGCGCGGATATCAGGACCCCACTCAGCCCACGACAAAGCCAGGAAGCACATTTCAACCCAAACTGCTCCTAAAGGCACCCTGGTTAGATTGCAAAACCCTGCGTGGATGCTCTTAAATTAGTTTAAACACGGTTCATATCACTTTGCTCTGTGCAAATGAAAATCTGTTGTGAAGTTGGATCACCTCCATGTAGGAGATAGCACTGGGTAAACACAACCAGCTATCAAGCCTGGTTTAGTTAAAGCAATCTAACTGATATGCCTGGGCAAAGCCCAATGGCCTCTTATCTTCTGTCACTTTCATTTAGATAAGTTAGTTCACCTCTCACCCTTCCCCACCCGCACAAAAAGCAAACTGTTACTCTTCCATGGGTTAGACCTATGATACTCCTACTTTCCAATATCTCCACGTCGCTCCCCTAAACTACTGACGTAGGAAAAAGTGTCACCGAATTTAAGGCTTCCTGCTTTCAAGGGCTTTGTGCCTTGAGTTCTCACTGGGTCTGGCCTCAGGGAGGGTTTTAATGAGAAGCACTAAACAGAATGTGATGCGTTGGTGTTCATAAATGCATAATTAGAGCTGCTCAGATTAGACAGTGGTACCATCAGGCCCACCTTTGCTCTGTTGCATACAGCTGCATTGTTAGGCAAAGAAGGAAGTAAATAAAAATAACCATTGTCGAAGAATAAAATATTGCTGCTTTATGTAACAAATCTGCACAGGGAAAATAATCCAGGATGGAGTATCAGGAGACAACATTTATTGTCTCTACAAGCCACTGAGAGACAAGATGATCAATTTACAAAGCGGGGGGAGGAAGAAGAGGCGGTTTATCTAACGGCGTGCTTTTCAAGACCACACTGGAATTTCAGTCAAGCTGCTTTCTTTTCGGACTTGCCAGCAATAATCGTTTTGAGTAGGGACTTAGCAATTATTCCAAATATACATACGCCACAACAGAAGTTAGCTCCCTCTAATAGCTGCCATGGCTCGTACAGAGCTAATGGGAGTGAAGACGAGACAATTATATTTGTCATTAAAGTAAGCAGATGGACTCCAAATATGCAAAGATAGAGCAGACTGGTGGGCACACTCACTTCTGTAACTGCAAGTGCCCTTTAAAAGAAAAGCAGTGTATTTTTCCTCCCTTAAAATGTTCATGAGGCCAGATTGTACTCCAGTGTACGCAACACAGGGTACAGGGCTCAATTCCAGTCTCGTACTATTTTTACTGTGGCATAACGCCAGAGCACGCAGAAGAGTCACTCCTGCTTTCTGCTGATGTAACTGAGACGGTTCGTGCCCTTCTGGAAGGCAAAGGTGAGGTTAGCACTGGAGCGGT